GTATTAAAACACGTCCGTAAAGTCGATCATGTATCCACAAATACAAAGAGCCGTCGCATTCATTGTTACATTCAAAAAATCAAAGCAAAAACTGTGAGAGTTGTTTTTTTAATTCTTGGAGTATTTGAGTATTAACCCGTTTTTTGTGGGTGTGGGCGTGGGATCGTCCATGGGACTTGTGGACAGGTGCTATATAGTGGGCTGTAATCCCATTGTTGGGGAACACGGAAGGTTAGCCCAGCAGTCAATGAAGAGTATGAAGACAGGTTTATTTTTACTAGTATTTACTCAGTTTTGTTTGTTTGCGGTTCCAGTCAATATTTTTGTTTATAATAAGCCTTAGGGCTTATAAACCAGTGTGTTGTGTTTTGCGTAATCGCAGAAAAAATGTAATTCAGAACAACCAGCCTGGAGCACTGTTTTATCCCCATTAAAGCTCAATAAGCAAAATTTTACTGACTACAGATTATGTTTGAATGGAATTTATTATTTGCGATGCCTATATAAAAGTACCATGAAGTATGGCAGTAAAATAATATTGCTGTGTGAAAGGCGTAGAAGGAATCAAAACAAGCAAACAAAAGAATAAACAAATAAACCAAGTTTATAGTAAGTAGATCACATTGATGACGGAGTGTACCCTTCCGTGCTTCATAACAATGGGAGGATTGTACCCAAGGTACCGTGCGCCAGGGTTAAACGCTATAAGAAAAATGTTCGTTTCACTAAATGACATTAGCATTGAAATATGATACCTAATGTTTGTTTGGTTGAAAGAATATCAACCCGCTACGACGCAACTAGGGTTGAGAAAGATTGTTGTCCTTTGCATAGTTCATCTAGCAGTGACAGTTTAGATTTATTACCACTCTTGTACTCGTACCTGAGTGTAATTTTAGACACCTTTTTCTAAAACTAAGTTAATTTACACAAAGTGAAACACATTCTTTTAAAACCTCAAAACAGTAATAAAAATGAGAAGATTATATTAATATTAAGGGAGCCTAATGCTTGTGTGGTGATTCATTAAGTGCGTCCTGGACCACGATCACGGAGGAACACTACGGTTGTTTTAGCCGGTGAGAGTCCGGCACGCCCCTCCCCACGGGCGACGTGGGAAGTCCATGAGGATTTCCATTGCGATAGAAGAAAAAGGGAGTCTTATGCCCATATTCACCAACCTCTTCGCACAATCCAAACAACAAAACTATGTAACTAGATAATTGTATTTTGAACCTGATTCAAAAGAGTAACCTATAGGGTTTCTTGTTCGTTTTTCTTTGTTGACATTCAAAAGTGCCTTTCTGGTCTAATCGAAATAAATAATTTTGACTTTGACTTTGACTCTTATTTTTAAGACATTACATTACATGGGGCTCACATAAATAGTGAAAGCTGGGAGTTAAATTGTACAGTGGCATTAGGTGCCGTAATGTGCACCTCTGCTTACCGTTTGTGCGATAAAAGGGGTGATGTTACGTAATGAAAAAAATTTGTCGTGCGTTTAAGGTAAAAATAACATAGCAAAGTAATTTGTATGAAAGATAAAAAGATAGGAAAAATAATATTTACCCATTAACCGTTTCATTTCTTTTACGACAGACGGTTACTGTAGCAGTGTTTGTTTAGGTTCGTCTTACATGATATCTGATATTATGGAAATTGTATTACTACGTAGGAGGTAGGTTTTAAGACGCCCGCTTCTCATGCATGAGGGTGCGGGTTCGAAACCCACCAATGGCAAGTACCAATGTGACTTTTTCCGAGTTATATGTACTTTCTAAGATTATTTAGACACCACTAACAAACGGTGAAGGAAAACATCGTAAGGAAACCTGGGCTTATAATTTCTAATTATAAGTTTGATATCACCAACACGCATTGAGCAAGCGTGGTGGGTGATTAATGCTCTAACCTTCTCCGTGTGAGAAGAGGCTTTGCTCAGCAGTGGGCATTTATAGGCTGTTGATGTAGGAGGTACATGCTCCATACTATATCGTGAGATAGAGATATGTACGTAGATACTTATGAATAACAATTATGCGATGTAAGAATTGTTCTCTTTATTTTAGGTATGTCATTAAGCTAACGCCAAGCTTAATTCATTATTATGTTTTCGGCTTAGGAGGAACTCGACTAGTTTCAAGCCATGCTAGAGGCTCATGTTCATGAGCAGCATTCCGCTTGTCAAATCTAGTCGAGTTCCTCGTCAAACAGTTACGTCAGTAAGGCGACAACATAATAATTAATTTAGTATGTCTTGCCTCTATAAACGCCAAGCTTTCTTAAATTATTACTGGGTTTTTCATAAAATTCTTAGTAGTAGCACGGAGTCTGGAATTGTGCCCGGTATATGGCAATTGGCTCACCCCCTATTACATGGGACTCATTACATAAATGGTGAAAAGTGGGTGTTACATTGTACAGTGGCATAATGCACCACCTCTGTTATGCTATGTTTATGCTTTTATATCTTAAATTATGTTTTTATATTATATTTTAGGCTCATTACAGTAACGGTTAATTTCTAACGATACGAAGTTATTGTAGACTTTTTTGTTAAATGAATACTAAGGTAATTTAATTATCATCATGGATTACCATTAACAGTTTTAAAATTATTCTAACACTAGCATATCATAGTGACGTCATCAATCAACCCTAACACAATTACACCCTGTCAATAACATAAAAATATACAAAGCAAACACTATTTATTGTAAACACCACTTATTTACCATGTATTTTATTACAACAAACTTATTCATACACACTATACAACCCTTATTACTATAAACTTAGGGTTGAATTCACCTTGTTTGTCGTGTAAATGTATCTTTGTACAAGGGTACGTTCCCGTGTGACTGTGTATTGGGGGTGGTTTGTGGCGCCCAACGTGGGACTCAATTTAACTTCTTCAGTCATCATGAGCGCTTGGTATTCATCTGTGTAGTTAGTTAGTGTTAGGTGAATCCTTTAGGGACTTAGGGACTTGCCTATAAGTAATGTAACTTTGATTATCCTGTCTTTATTTATAGATCTTTGATATACATACTGTACTCACGCTGTTTCACTCGCTGCTTGGCTCCAATTAGTTGTAGCATGATGTACTATGGCCTTTTTTTTAACTGGGGAAAATCATCGAATGACTGCTCCCGCCTGGGTGAGGCGGAAGGGAGTGTCAGACTCTTACTGACTAAAAACCACCCCGTTCCTTCTCCTGCACGTCGAGCCGGAGCCCCGGTTACCCGTAAGGTTCTCCGCGACATGTATTATGGCCTAAAGCCGTGATAAATGGATTATTCAACAATGTTTCAATGCGAACCAGTAGTTCCTTAGATTGTAGTGCTCAATCAAATTGACAAACATACTCTTAATTACTGTAAATAAATGAAGTTTTACAAGTTTTGTAAATATAGATTACTATGATTAGATAATATTGATGGGAAAGACACGTGTTCGTGTTTATGAGTAATATTTCCTCGTCATTTCAGTTCATTGATTACTGGATCACGTGAGTCCATACTTTGTAAACTTTCGTACCATGTACACACGGCTACACATGGAGCTTTACATAACCAGTATAAACTGAACGTTAAATGTGCGGAAAGATGATGCGACGCAACACCAGGATAAACTGGTTTTGTATAGATTGATGTGTGGCCGTGTGTGCGAAAGTTTGTTGTGTTGTGCATTGATTTATCAATGTTATTCTTTTGTTTTCTACATTTTTAATTCATTAAGGGTTTGACAGCCGACAGAGAAGGTAGAGAGGAGGGTAAATCCTCCGCTGTCGTGTCCCATACCTGTGTGGCGGTGTTGTATCCATGGCGTTCTTGATGTTAAAATATATAATTATATTTTTCTAAATTAATCTAATTGAAGTAAAATAAAGTACCTAAAAGTTCCTAGAATATTATACTATTTTAACGTACTAGTAAGTAATTTCATGTATCTACTAAAACATTTTTCCGCTCGATTGATCAGACCCGCAAACTATAATGTTAGCTATTATCGGTCCCCTCCAATCATATCTCGCGTCAAGTGAGAGTCGCGTGCGCAACGTGTGAGCGAGCGCGCGCCGCGGGTCGCACGCGCCGATGTCGGAAGTGTACGGAAGTGACGTCATGTATGACACTGCGCCGGCGCAGACCATCCGATACTACTCAGTTGGCTGTGGTTGGGGGAAGGGTAAACGATAGATCGTTTAATAGGTTTTTGTTGAGATTGCCTTTTCTTCCGGGTTGTATTTTTTAGCTGATATTCAATTTTTTGGGGACTGTTGAAAAATAAATGACTTGACAAAGGACATTGTATTGAGGAGTAGTGGCAACCCATTAAAGTTTTATTTTCCTAAACTTACTTAAGTAGGTACCTATCTAGGTACCCACTAGCGAGTTTTTTGGTGCCAGATGGAATTAAGTAATATTCATCTTACCCGCTACAGTTTAGTGTGGTAGTTGAAGCGAAAATATTGCATAGTAAAAAAAAATGGGAATGTACAACATAGGTAGTACGTAGGTAAGTAGAAAAAGTTTCAAAACATTTATTCATCATCATTTTTACTTTAATATTTTTTCTTTGTTGTTAATAACAACAAAGAAATTGTTGTAATTACCAAGTAACTTGATCAAGCCTTCAAATGTTTGGTCATAATATTCCTAGAAGAAAAAAGAAATAAACACCGTAATTTGTCCATCTATTCTTAACATAAACGAGTAACGCCATCTAGCTTGGAGATTGATAACTAATCACAGATTTATACTACTGCCCTCTAGTTAACGAATTCGGAATCACGTTATCTTATTTAAAAATGAGAGGAAGAAAGATGTACGAGGATGCATGATCTTTATAAAATAAAATACCTAATTATTATCGTTACTACAATTTAGGGGTTTTACTACCGAATAAAAACTCAAAATTATATCTTAATATTTTTTTATTAATATAGGTATAACTCTTAATCAATAACTATTTTTTATGCTATTCTTTTCTATTTGTTATTTGTCATGACTCGACCGCGAGTCCGGATCTGACGCTACGTCTCGATGTTCATTCATTTCTAATTCAAAATCATCCACGGCCATGGGAGTGTCTGGAAGTTAAATAAAAGTTATTGTTTAGAATATTAGAACTGTATAATATAAAGAAGTTAATGTGTTATTGAATAATTGTGAGGACTTTAGAATAATGTTGAATGGCGTACTTTTAATATTACATTGTTGTTTTTCTTTTAGACGTTGCCCCACATTAGTATTTTTTCCTGTATCGTGGGTGCGTTTACAAACACACAATTTCACATACACACGACACCCAGACCTAAAAAAATAAATTGTAGATCGCAAAGAGTTGTTCAGTGCGGGAATCGAACCTACACGTTTACCGCAGCCAGTTCTGGTGTTGCAAGTGTCCATGGGAGATCGCTTACCATCAGGTGGTTTCTGTTCGTTTGCCTCCTATTCGATAAAAAAGTCACTGCGCCAACCTTGCAGTGTAACGTCAATATAAGAAAGACATTTCTGAAAAGAGATGTGTAAATATAGGTCCGCTGTAGGATGTTACCGAGATGGTCGAGCGTGACGCCCATGGCGGCGCGCAGCGCGGGCACGTGCGCGACGTGCCGGGGCGGCACGCGGGCCAGCATGGCGCGCAGGCACGCCGCCACCAGCCGCGCCAGCTCGCGCTCCGCCGCGCCCGGCCGCGCCGCCAGCGACAGGTGCCACGGGGACGCCGCCGACAGTCTGCGGAATAAACAATAGGATTCAATGACATTTCACTTGCAATAAGATTATCTATACTATAAAAGAATCAAAACTACACAGATTAAAAAAATCACATCTTTTCATCCCGACTTATTCCCGATTAAGCAGGTAGAAAACTAACTAATAGAGTATTTCATATTATTATGGTGTGTCAGTAGTGTACCTGTCCCTCTGCTCCTTCTCCAGTTTGGCGAGTAGGTCGGTGGTGTGCCGCAGGGCGCCCCCGATGCCGTAGTCGTGCTGCGAGGCGAGCACGTCGTCCTCGATGTCGTGCAGGTACTCCACGTCGATGCCCAGCTCCGACAGGGTGCGCAACTGGTCCACGTCCACTTTCACCTTCGATAGATCCTGGAAAAAATATGGCATTAACTTCTGTTAAGGGAACCATTCATAGTACTTGTAATCTGGCCTCAAACCGAATTCCACTTCGGACGAAGTGTTTTCAAAATCCTCAATAATAGCAGTAGCAAAATGGCAGTAGATTATTTAATTTAGCCCATTTTTATAGTGTGCATGTCTGCTTATAAGCAATATATCAGTGTATAATCAGGGTATACCCTTAGATATTAGATAATCATAATGTATATAGTTATAGTAGGTATATTTGATAGTAAAATAATTAATTACATTTTCAGGTGGTGGTGTTTGTTCCTGCTGCTTCTTATCCGGGAAGAGTGTCTCCATGTCGTATATGAGAGCCCACGGGGAGTCCGGGGCGAAACGTAGCGGCTCCTCAGTGCTCTGACCTGTCTCGTACGCTGCACAATAACAAAATAACTAATTTGTTTATAGCAGATAGAAGAAAACATTACTAAAATAGGTATAAAGTTTTAGAATAAGATTCATATAAAACATCATGCAACATGCATGAACCAAACATGTCTTGCAAAATCGAAGCAAGTTGTGATCATATTGATGAATATTAAAATAATTAATCTAATGATGATAAATAATAATATATTATATAATAAACGAGATATACTCACGTAGTGTGTGATATAGCATATGTGACTCCTCCTTGGTGAGCGTGGCGAAGGTGCCGTCGTACGAAGGAGCATACGAGCTGAAGGGGCCGTAGTTTAGAGGCTTTACACCTTTAGCCACGTTGCGGCGGTCTTCGCGAGGCGCTAGGGGAAAAATTGTTTGATGCACGATAAAAAATATATCAGAATCGTACTCTGTTTAAGTGCCTTTCTTAAGACATTGAGGCAGAAAAGGTTTCTGGTTTCTAGTGTCACTCAATACTTACTATGCAAAGTGCCAGTCCCCTGTGTGAGTTTGCCGATATATCTGCCGAGAGTGAGCGGCTTGTCGTCCCCGGAGCCCTCCACCGTGTTGGTGACCAGACACAGCGTCGTCTTGCCTTCCGCGTCCATGCGGGGGAACGCTGCACAAACCATACTCCATAATTATAGTTGTAAATAGACATAAAAATTAACTTCTTAATATCCGATTATCCATAACATTTGTTCATACAAAATAGTCTCGAAACAAGGTCTATAATAGTGTAAGTGGAGAGCGGTCACCGGTGATCGCTTAGACATTGACCAGTAGAACTAGAGTTAAATATGTAGGAATATAATAAAAAAATAACAAGATAAATCATTCTGAGATCGTGAGTTTAGATATTTGATCACAAAAGTACTAAGAGCTAGGTAGATTAGATTGGTGTAGAACTCATGTCATAATACAGTTGCTGGGTAACTGTCTGGCGTAGCATATTTTATAATGTCCAGTGAAATTAATAAGGACAAATTGATATAAGAAATAAAGGTCCAAGTGTAGAATAAGTAGAATAGATACAAATGTCGAGCGTAGTAAGCATGTGTTACCTTTCTTGGCGAGTCGGCGGCGATGTTGTTCCCGCGCGGCCTCCATCTGCATCTTGACGCAGTCGCCGGCGCGCTCGGCGCCGCCGTCCGCGTCGTGCTCGGCGCCCGCCTTCAGCGGACTGCTGCGCTTCAGCACCTTGTGCTGCCACACACGGACCGTCACTCCGCTACTTGGAGCCAAGCGGACTACGGCGCGCGGGGGACGGCGCTTACGACCACTACTTTATACTTAGTAGCAAGGAATAACTTAAAATGATTTCCAAGTATTCAATATGAAGTCGTAAGAAGAATAGTGCACTAGAATGTTAGAAGTAAGTGGCACGTCCCGGGCGCGCTAGTAGTCCGCAGCAGTGCATGCATTGCTCTGACGCCGGCGGTAGACACTCCTACCCACACCACAACACAGACGTCAACCGACAGAAGCAAACAAAATCTCGCTAGACCTCTAATACACGACTACGCTCCTATTATCTATTAATTAGTTAAAGTATCACCTTTCTGCCGTACGTCCTAAGAGGCTGCGATGCAAAAAGTCATTTCATCAACATGTTTAGTTCAACTTCAATATAAATAAAAAGAACAAAATGTTTTCTTTACTTAAAATACTCACTAAGCTTGTTTCCACAGGTAAATGTTTCTTTTATTTGTTTTTAGTAATTACATTGGGAAGTTATGTGCGCGTCTGGGACTTGACTTTTAGCGTTATACAACATTTACATTTGTACCTCGCAAAATGAAGACCCATTATTGTGGCATGTTTTAAATGACAAAAGCCATGACTGAATACAATACCCATTGTCATGAACTTGACTTGCAGATAGCAAATATCATATAAATATAATTCACACTAGGATTTCAACAATTTTTATAATGCTTTAAATCCACAGCAAGTTAGCAATATACTGATTATTACTTATTACTAACGCAAAGCCAGTACTGGCTAATATAACTATCCATCTTCACTTTGCGAGGCACATAATAAAGACAACAAGTAGTACTCACCACATCCATCTTGCCGATGTCGAAGCCGAGCTCCTTGATAGGTATCTCATACATGTAGGTGAGCATGTTCCCGAGTGGCCTGAGTTTCTGTGGAGTGAGTTGTTTGAGTCCTGCGTGTAACAGTCTGCGGGCTGCCTTGTGGTACACTGTGCCGGGCTTGTTGTACTTCATTGCATTGTTGCACATTAGTTTGAAGTCACTCTGTGGAAGAAAGGTTATTTCAGTCACAATATATTTTAAATGAATATTGTGGTGGCCCGGATGTTTATGACACCCGTTTCTCATGCATGAGAGTGCGTGAGGATTTGAAACCTACCAACGGCAAGCACCAAGTGACTTTTTCCGAGTTATATGTAATTTCTGAGACTATCTAGACACCACTGACAAATGGTGAAGGAAAACATTGTGAGGAAACTTTTTTTTTGAGGGGGGAAAATCATTCAATGACGTCTCCCACCTAGGGTTGGTGAGAGGGAGTGTCAGACTTTTACTGACTAATAACCACCCCGTGCCTACTCCTGCTCTTCGAGCCGGAGCCCCTACCTATAATTTCTAATTATAAGTTTGAAATGCCAACCCCCAAGATTTTTTCTTTTAAATTCAAATGCAACTTACAATGAAACAATTGAGAGACTTGTACTCATTATCATCAATCTTCTGCTTCATAGTGGAAAAGTCCATTGGTCTTCTAATGATGTCTGAGTACCCCGGCGCAAAGTTGTCATTCACCGGCCATGCGAAAAACTGGTTGGGATCCCTCTTCTCTAGGTTGCGGAGTAGCTGTTCCAGAAGGCGGGATAATGGACGCCGCTTCTGACTAGCCTGTGAAGACAGAAAATAGAGAATATTATGTGAAGTGTAATGGTTATATTTACATAATAAAGGTTTGCTTTTAAGTTGTTAAATAATATAAGATAGCTAACATTTTTAATTATGGAAATGAAACAGTAGAAAATTTGAAAAATTATCATTTCAATTAGTTTTTATTAGATAACTGTAAAACTTAAAGTGTCACAACAAAAGAAAATGAAACTTAAGAATCTACAGAGATACATTTCACCAGTTACCTTAAGCACACAAGTGCGAGGTTCCCTGTGAGAAGCAGGAGAGATGGGCCCGGGGCCCGGACTGAGCCGTCGAATGAGCTTCTTGGCCAGGCCCTCATCATCCGAATCATCATCATCTGACAATTTAATCTGGAACAAGCCGTTCAGACATATTCAAGTATATGGAATTGACGATGAGAGACTTTACTTTGTTGTTTAGGTACTGGTGTGTAGTAATTGCAGTGTTGAAAAGTGAGTGTTTGTGAATGATGTCACAGAAGGATACATTTGGAATATCGTGCATCGTGCAATCTGGTATTTCAGTTTCATCTAATTCAAATAAGATTATTGTCAAATTGGGATAAAATAATTATTTAGGACTATACCACTAACAGGTGTTTCTACAGAATAAGTATTAGACTGAATTAAAACTTAGGACCTTCAATTTTGTTATGACACTTAAATTGTGAATTTCTAATTGGAGAATAGCTTTAAACACGTCTCTAATGTTCAGTTATGTGGCAAATTCGTATAACAATAACAAAATGGTTTCTCTGTATGACGATATCGATCCTTACCATGTCAATTTCACGGCGTCGTCTTTTTCTTTTCAAGTGGGGTTTCTCTTCAATTTCTTTGTGGTCATCTGTGGCTGAATTTTCAACATCACTAGCTTCTAATTCCTCTTCTGTAAATAATGTATTTCGGGTTAGCATCAACAAAATATTGTAACGAAAGACGCGACAGAATAAAGCCGCTTTTCACTTACTGCAGGTTATATTTTCTATGTCATCCATGTCTGCCAGTATTTATTGAATATTCCTACACCTTATTTAAGTTATAACAACTGTTTAAATGGACAATAATCTGTATTTTTACCAAATAAAATAATTTAAACATCCATTACTTTTAACAAGCCATTTGACAGTTGGAGATTTTTGAGTTCCAAGAAAAAAATTACAATCGTAGATAATCTTGCATTAGAACGAGAACAACAGTTATGTTACACGTGGGTTAGAAAAAGACAAAACTATGACAGAACTGAAAGAAGAAGTAACTGGAACGTGGTCTGGCAGTATGTTCTCTAATGTCGTTGTATTCATGAATCAATAGGCCGTTAACCTTTTCTGGGATTGGTTTATATCGTATAATCGTTATTTATTGCACCAATCATTGGTAGTGAATTGTAATGTACCATATTCTCTAAAACGTATTGTTATTAAACATAACGACTTCACCTTATACACGGGATAGATAGAAAATTCTATTACACATTACACTTGATAGTCTCAGTGTAATCAATAAGTTTTGTTTTGAGTTTAAAAATCTACAAATTATATTTTTGGCACTTAATTTTTATTAGCAATGTAACGAATGATTAGTGCAATATAGCGAATTGAATTACAGTGGATTCTCACAGAGTTCTTCTTATGGAAATACCCCGGATTGTCACGCTAAATAAATTAAAAAAATAATAGGTAATTTGAAATAAATTCTCACAATTATTAAAGAGAAGAGAAAGTGTGTTGGAAAATAATGGAATAATGGTTACTAAGCCCTAATGTCAATGATATTATATTGTCTAGGTATGTATACATGGCGTTGCTGCAAAAAACTTAGTCTGAACAAGTGGACACGGCCACCTACCTATGTATGTATAGCCTAAAGCTACGACCACCGACTGTTAGGATTTTTTTTTATGTGGAAAAGTCATCCAAAGTCTTTTTCCGCCTTGGGTGAGGCTAGAAGGAGTGTAAGACTCTTATTGACTAAAAACCACCCCGTTCCTACACGTCCTGGTCTTCAAGTCGAAGCCCCTGTAACCCGTTAAGTCTTCTGCGGCTTCGTATCTGCATCAGCCCTACTGGGCCCCATCTGTAATGGTATGGATGGCTTGTCGACCACCGCGCGCGCGGATGCGACGCGCCGTACGACCCACCGTAGGCTGGATAGCAACATCCTCAAAATTTTCAATGACGTCATTACTGAGTAAGTGGTAGTGAGCTTGTGTTAATTAACACCAACAATTACCAATAAACGCAGCCAAACGCAGCTATCACTGCGACACGCGAAACCAATTAATTATCGCATTAATTCCTGAGTAAAACAATAATGGCGGCTTACGACTAAATACTTGAGCTGTCGATGATCGCGGCATTATGACACTTCACACCTTAACACATCCAGGTAAACACGGTTACACATCGATCTATGCAACTCCAGCACTAACTGACCGTTGAATGTAAGGAAATATGATACAAAGCGGGACCAAGATAAATTGGTATTGCATAGCTTGAGTTGTAGCCAAGTGTAGGTACATTATTCTGTGGTACAGTTACCGTGACAGGTTTCATGTTTCGAATTTTCGATACAAATTGCACGATACATCGGAATCGAGACGGTATCACTTACCGGAATGTCATTGTTTGCGAAAATCGGTTACCTGTAATTAAAGTTGTTACTTACAAGGTTGCAAGGCTGGTGACACAAGTATTATCTTTGATGTTTGATAATTTATCACTTTTTGGCTAACACTGGGTGTTGAAATTAATTTAACTGAAAATAAAGTAACAAAGGGCTTGGCGCGCGACGAAGGTAAGACTTGACGGTATGTCCATTATGCCCTAGAAGCTGGGAAGGTGTTTGGTGTGGGACGCAACCTGCGTCGACACCCTTGCACCTTCTCATCTTCCAATAACGGCGGGTTGTGCTGGTTCGGCTGCTGCCTCTGCAGAAAACCTCAGGCGGTGCAAGTATAAAAATCTTGCTGGTAATTATATCTTTAAGACGTTTTGGGTTGAGACTCTAGGTCCGTGGAATCCGAGTGCTCATACTTTATTTAAAAATATTTCGAAACGCCTCGTCGACGTATCTCGTGACCATAGGGCTGGTCTATTTCTCGGTCAGAGGTTAAGCATTGCCATACAACGTGGCAATGCTGCTAGCCTTCTGGGTACTTTCCCTACCGAATTTTTCAATGCTCTGTGTAAATAGATAATTTTAGTTCTCTCTTTAGGTACCTATTTAAATTTTATCTTTTTGTTATATCTAGTGTGTCTTAAGTTATTTATTTATTTTTCATTTAAATTATAATTCTTCATTGTTAGTATAAAGTAACTGATTTTGGTATATCAGAGCTTTTTGATGCAGCTATCTAATTGGTAGTTTATCTTCATGATCTGTTTTTATTACACTTACCACTTTCAACATCCATTTGAACATACTTGAAATGTTCAAATTAGCATTGCATGCTGGAATTACTCCTGTACCTGACTCAGAGACAATCTAATCGATTCAGCACGACGCGACGTTCTCCACAATTGGAAAATAAAATCCCCATTGAGACAAGGGCCAGAAATATCAATAGCAGTATCTAATACTATTGCATGGAGCCTCACGTAACAAATCTAACACTCTACACTTTAATTTATAAGAATCGTGAACATTGTATTTGCAGCGCTGAGCTGCGCGCGCGCAGGTGCGCGGCCGGCACGAGCGATGATCGATACAGCTTCGCTATCGCTTTCGGCGGGAGCGCCCGCGCCGACGACCGACAATTAATTTAGAAGCACCATTTGTTCGCTGATAACACAGGTAATGCCGTGTGTTGTTTCTTTGATTAGGATGTGTTCCTAGTGGACTTGATGAAATTCGACCTTCTTGTAAAAGATTAGCAAGATATCTTTTTTTCTGTCTCTCAGAGTCGGGACTCTTAGAGGCACAAAAAAACATGATCTCGGTGTTAAAACATGCCAAATTAGAATTGTAGTTTTGATAGATTTTCTCAAAATTATGTCTCGACTAGGAAAAGACTAAGCAATCCAAATAAATATACCGCTACGCCCTTAAGTTTCTACATACAAGGGGCATAGAGGTATAATTATATGTATAATTGTTTAGTGATCTGATATAGAAATATCAGTCAACATAATTGATTTTTGGTCACTACTAAAATAAAACTCAACGACCCTCCAGATGTCCACAAACCTCCAGCTTGAACAAGACCTTATCAAAAATTCAGTTTGTTCTGTTGCCATTGCATCCTTCCGTGTGATCGGCTAATTAAATTGGCCGCAGCTGGCTGGCTAATGGAAAATCGCGGCAAATAAATCTTAAGTCGCGTCGAGTTCCACCCACCGAGTTAGATAGAGGACGCCGTGCTATGTTCGACGCGCACTCATTAACGGAGATAGCTCAAATTCATTGTTCCACCTCATGCTGCAATTGCTTGTCTGATCTCTGAAGTCTGGCGTTGGTTTCTACAGTTGTCTGATGTGTTTGCAGTACCAGATAATAAGTACTGTTAGATCAAAAGGTATGTTTGTATTTGAAGTTAATTAACTTCAAGATAGATCAGTCACTTTTGATAGAATTTTCTAACTAGGTATAAGTACTTAACAATGTTAATGGAATGTTACATTGGTTACTAAGTATAACAAGCGTGCAGATGGAAGTGTTGGGAAATTATGAGGTATCTCGTTATTGCTACTTTGTTACCAGTCTAATTGTAGAGAAGGGCTCCAGGGTAGATAGCACAATATGTTGTGCACCGCCCTCATAAAGCAATCTAATTTATTTTCCCGTAAAACCTTGTTTACTTGCTTCAGCAAAACAGAAAAAATATCGAAGCTATCTAAAAAATTCGATTGAGGTCCGTGGTGCCAATTAGCACTGCCGATGAAATGTGTGATGGTGTGATGAACAATGAGCATCTGCGACACTCCCGCGCAGATCGTCGATAATGGCGTGGCGCGCGGCGCGGGCGCAGCGTAACTTAGCGAGCTCTACACCGCGCACCCGCACACACGGAATTTCACCTTTCATTAACGCCTGCGTATTCGACCACACGCCGCAATCAATTTGCACCCCTGACACAAAAATATATCCAAGGAATTTCAATTCAGATTCATTCATCGAAAGTGTTAAATTCTGACTAAGAGGCACGGGCATAAAAGATTCGCCTCGAGTGTTGAATGGATAATAATAAATATTTAGCAGATTTCATAACAATTGGACAGCGACGACACCCAAGATGTGGTGAGATCATCTTAATCTCGTGCTAATTGACTATTTTGTAAGTCATTACCTAAAAGCCTAAAACACTAATGACATAATAGATTATACAAAAACATCTGAATTGTGAAAGCCTGCAGCGTGTGAGAACGGTGACATAGAAACGGTAAGACCGGCTTCTTGACTTCAATGATATAATAATCTAAATATATTTCATTGGTTGGATAGGTAGAATTATTATAAAATATGGTAATAGGAAGCTGAGACGGGTAGTAGGGTAATAGGCATTTTATTATATGTTACGAGGTTGCTCGAAGATTAGCTGTCAAAATAGTAAGACTTTAAAATTTCTAAAGCTTATGACTGAAAGCAAAGCAATCACATCATAATCGATTAAAGAAGTAGGTGCAGATTAGGTTCAGCAGGAATTCTAGGCGCCCACCCAGTGACCTCAGGGAAGACGGTGGCACAGAGGTCACGTGCCACCGTGTATAGCGAGACGAGGAGATGCAAATCTTCCTTATGATGTGCCGTCACAGGCGTTTCACCGGAGGTTTAGGGAGCAGGTCTATCATAGAGGACTCGGTGCCCCCCATAGGTGATGATGGTGTCCACCGGGGTGATTTTAGTGAGGTAAGAATCCCACCCCACACTCCCTAGTTCTATCCCCAAAAAAGCTAGGCGCTTTTTAAAGGATACCCCCGTTATCAAAAAAAAGGTCCAGCAGGAATAAACATATTAAGCCTTTGAAGGGTGTCAACTGTCTGATGGCTTTATCTCAATA